AGATGTCTGGTGTAGGGCCAGAGCGCACTACTATATAAAAACGTGGAATTCTCCGACACCGTTTGGTATCGGGGAGTGACTAATCAACAAAAAGATGCGGTCCGGAAAACTTCTAAACAAAAATAAAATGATCCGTTTTCGGTCCGGATCAGAACGGTTTGTTAAGTTGTCACCCCTGATGACCTACAACATCCCTCACCTGGTATTAATCTCACACTTGTAATTTTAAAAGTGGACTAAAATATAGCTACAGGAAAAATGTTAGTGCTTGATTCAAAAGAATAGATCTATTAAAAGATTTCAACATATTTGACCCCTGTGACCTTGAAAATGGGTGAAGATCATGTTCATTTAAACAAACTTGGTAACACTTCATCCCAGCATGTAACTGGCCAAATATAATCATCCTGGACCTTTTTTTGTTATTCAGAAGAAAAGGTTTAAAGGTTTTCAACATATTTGACCCATGTGACCTTGAATATATGTCGAGGTCATTCATTTGAATAAACTTTGTAGTCCTTCATCCCAGCATGTTACTGGCCAAATATCATTTACCTAGACCTCTTGGTTATTCAGAAGAAGTTGTTTAAAGGTTTTACACTTACACGTATTTGACCCCTGTGACCTTGAATATAAGTCAAGGTCATCAGTTCAAACAAAGTTGGTAGCCCTTCATCCCAGCATGATACTGGCCAAAAATCAACACCCTAGGTCTCCTGGTTATTCAGAAGAAGTTGTTTTAACTCTTTACCACTCGAACATTGTTGCAACAATGTATACATTTTACTTGCCTGGGCTGCAGGGCAGGCACTGTACCAACCTCTACAACTGTGTATATTTTGTGCACCATTTCCTCAGGCACTTTTACATTTTTTATTAGGCTTTGATGTATGGTTTTTAAAACTCATTTTTCTGACAATGATATTCAGAATACGGTATTATAAGTACATATTTTTAGTTTCTGTGAAATCTGCCCTATATTTTGGTGCATGTTTTAAGTTGAAAATTTGAAGTACAAAAAAAATGTATATGCGGGTTTCAATAGGTTTTATTTCAAAACATGTATATATTATATTGGATGTATAATTGCAAAAAATGTCCAATGTTTATTGTAATTTCATTAAAAGTCTTTAACTTTAGCCATTGTTTGTTATCTTTAAAACACAATCTATACCTGAATATATATTTCACTGGGTATGGTATGCGAGGTGACAGCCATCTTTGCATAAATGTACAGACTGCACAACCGAATACTGTCTCCTTCCTCTGCTTCCTACTCAGGTGAACCTGACACCTCCTTCTGGTTTGCAGTCGCACATTTTCATGTCCAGCATAGTTCTCATTGTTATGTACTTGTTCCAAGACCTCTGCTGCCTTCCTCTTTCTGCCACAGAAACCCGCGATAAGCTCATGTGCAAGTTCGCACCTGAAGTCTAGATGTGTATATCGCTTCTTAGAATGTTGCCTCTGTGTTATGCTGTTATATAAGATGAAGGCATTAACGATGGCACAGTTAACAATGAAGTAAAAAATGTACTTCCATGCCTTCTTACTGTCCCTCCCAAGGGGATATGTAGTTCGGAGTTGATCATGGGGATCAACACCATTCATCTTCTGGTTATAGATGTAACCCGCATGTGGCCGAGTTAAGTGCAGTTGGTTTCGGCCTTGTCGTCGAAACATTGCTACATTTTCTGTTGGATTGCTAAGGGTACTTAAAAAGGCAACCAGCTTCTTATCTTGCCACACAGCTGCTGTAAGATTGCCTTGTTGTCTCACTTTTGATTCCCCTCGCCTCATTTTCAGTCTCTTTAGGTCAGCTGGAAAGCCACGCCTATTCACTCGCACCGTTCCACATGAATAAATATTCTTTGCTAAGAGATCAATACACAACTGTATACTTGTAAAGTAATTGTCAAAGAATACCCAATGGTTTTTGTCCACAAGCTGGGCAGTTAGATTTGTGACGACATCATATCCCAAACCATTTACAGATTTTTCTGTTGATCTCCCCAAATACACGTTAAAGTCATTCAGATAAGCTGTGTCGGCATCACACCTCATCCACACTTTAATACCTCTTTTAATAGGTTTAGATGGCAAATATTGTTTATAAGAAAGCCTACCAGTCCACTTGATCATTGCTTCATCAATAGATGCATTCTTACTTGGTCTGTTTGCTTTTTTGAACTGTTCTTTTGCCATTTCTATTACAGGTCTCACTTTATAAGTTTGTCAATATTGTCCCTAGCCTGGTTATCTTCCCCTCTCCTGTCACTGACATGAAAGTACTCCGTAATTTTTTCATATCTTTTCACTGTCATCACTGATTTGATCCCTTTATTTCCCAAAAATTTGTCTTTTGACCAAAAGTCTTTGTAAGATGGTAATTGATTTACTCCCATAAAGATCAGCATTCCAAGATACGCGGACATTTCATTTTCCGTAACGTCATACCATATCTGATCTTCTCGATCGTTTTTCTCAGATTTCCACTGGGCGTAATCATTGGTAAATTGTACGATATCCCAAAGAATTTCCGGTTTAAAAACAAGATCAAAATAATCTTTTGGGGTAGCTGTATCAATGTCAAATCCATCCGGTAATACTGGTCCGGTTTCCTGCTGAAAAGCATGAACTATAACGTCGTGTAGTTCACCAGGACGATCGCCATACCAATGAGCAGGATCGAACGCTTCTGGATTGTCGTCATCGCTTTCGTCGCCGCCTGGCTCGCTGTCACTATTAAAAATTTACATCGCTTAGGATGTCTGAATCCCCCGATTGGAAAAACCATCAAATCCGTTGGAATCCGACTCGTCTGAATTGAATATCGCCTGAATTTCCTTGTCAGAGTTTGTTCCCGGCTCGGCCGCCATTACGTTTCTAGCCACGCTTTCACAACGCTGACACTCTGATTTCCTGACTGAATTACGTAACAAGGTCAAGGCTATGAACTATAAAAAGTATCTAATTGTTTTGACCAATCACAGAGCTCCACCCTGGTATACGTCAACGACACATTCAAATTACAGTGACCGAGATACACGGTCTAAAAATAGGTATGTGTTTATACACGCTTGCGAGGAAAACATGGCTGTGCGCTCCCGGTCGCTTATGAGTAAATACGATGTATGCGTCAAACCACGCTTCCGAGGAAATTATGGAAAGGTGTCCAGACACGCTTATGAGTGGTTAAGAGTTAAAGTTTTAAACATATTTGACCCCTGAATCCTTGAATATAAGTCAAGGTCATTCAATTGAATAAACTTAGAAGCCTTTCATCCCAGCATGTCCCCGGCCAAATATCGTCACCCTGGGCCTTCTGGTTATTTAGAAGAAGTCATTGAAAGAATTTATTATATTTGACCCCTGTGACCTTGAAAATAGACAAAGGTCATTCATTTGAAAAAACTTGGAAGTTCTTCATCCCAGCATGCCACTGGCCAAATATCATCACCCTGGGCCTCTTGGTTTATCAGAAGAAGTTGTTTAAAGTAAAAAGTTGACGCGGGACGGACGACAGACGAACGGACGTACAGAGGACGACAAACGAACGGATGTACGGGCCAGGAGAGCTCAAAATAACGTTCGCTCAGGTGGGAATCTTTGAATGATTGAAATTCGAGGACTCTACTGACGGAATTTAGCAGCTGTTGGTGATAATAAGAGCTGATTTGGACCAATACATAATCCATTTATCAATATATTTGAGGTTGTGTTGTGTCATAGTAGATATTTGTTGTCAGCACGTGCACATCACAACTCTCCGGTACCAAACGGTGTCAGAGAATTCCACGTTTTCATATAGCAGTGCGCTCTGGCCCCCACCCCAGACATCTATATGCCAAAATGTCAAACTCTGGTGTTAGGGCCATGAGAAACTCAGACTAAGTGTAACAGCTAAGGTATATAAGGGGAAAATACTGCCTTACTGGCAAGCTAGCTTTTCCAGTGATGCGGTATAACCCAATGACCCGCTCACTAAGTCCAGCAACGTCGAGTGTGGTCAGAAGTTGGATGGGTTACAATTTTCTGTCAGCATTTCATAATTTTACGATGATCTTTGTTATTTGAATGAAAAAAGTATTTAATTTCTTCAATATTCTGAATTTATTCCTACAGTTTGAAACAAAATACAGACCCGGTAGTCCTCGCATTGTGCAATTTTTAAACCACATAAACTTCCAAATATCTTCTGATATTTGAACTTTATACATTTTGTAGTTAATCATATCTAAACTAGAAATGATGCATAACCTGAAAGCTATGAATTATTATAAGGACAAATTATTGTAATAACTTAACTGTTGATACATGTACATCTATTGATTTATAATTATATATTAATTTATAAGTACAATATACCCGTCCCCCCGAACTCTGGACAGACGCTCTCTGGTCGCCGCCGATCAACCTATTCTAGACCCAGGCCAGTTCCACTAAAAGTAAGTTTTGCAGTCATCCGATTTGGGTCCTGCCTCCTTACAGACGATATATTGCTGATAAACATGACATTTCTGATCAGACACTTCATCAGGTCCAGTACACTCTGCCGATTGAGCTATATAGCTATAAAGACCTATATAGCTATATACCTATAAATTATAGCTGTATTGAGCTATATTTTGTCAGATTTCAAATTTCATTAAATTAAAGCAAAGTCGCATAAAACAATAAGGTTTATGGTAATGTTGACTACAAAGAGCATACAGTTAGATGTTTATTTTCATTTTTCATAAATGTAAAATTTCCGATTTTTTTACACCTTTATTTTTTTTAAAGAATACTTATATTTAATGTCTTTTGTTATCAACCTAATGATACAATCTTCTTTTAAAAGCGACTTTGTTTCGTTTTCTTTAAAAAAAGAAAATCACTTGAAAATAGGTCAAAAGACTTATTTCAGATAGGTCAATAGAGCTATTATAGGTCTTTACAGCTATATAGCTCAATCGGCAGAGTGTACTGGACCTGTTCATATGCAAAATATTATATACCTTTTCTATTCCTCCGAGAATTGTAAACAACGCATTCTCTTGTGAATTATCTGAATTTGGTGACAGTTCTTCATTTTCACATTTCATTCTTTTTGACGGAGACCCGGTCTCGATTTCCTGTGAGAAAGGATTCCTTCTTTTTGACTGTAAAAACATACTTTTTGTACTGAAAATATCAGTTAGTTTGTTAGGTGGCTTTTCATCGCTACTTTGCAGCGATACTCGCTTCTTCTTCCGGTGCTTTTTCATTATATCTGAAGGTTTTTTCCATGTTGGTGAGCTGTTGGTGTCATCCATTTCTAAACGTTACCTTAAAGTATTTGCCGTGCATTTATCATACATATCATGCAGGTTACGGTATGTTTCCAATTTGCGTTTCCCGCTTTATTTTTCAAACGCTTTATCAACGTTGATGATGTTACGGTCGTGGGCAAACCTTGTACGTAGGACCTGGACCCGGACTAAAATCCCGATCTGGGTATATTCAAAACATGCTAATATCTCAATAAAGGAATCGTTTAATTTTCTTTTGAAACGTCTACAAAAAAATCAGCTATTGATTTATAAGACGCTGTATAATTAGATTGAAATTGTAAAAGATATAAAGATGTAAAGAGTAACGCCCACTGCGTACTCCCGTCACGGCCAAAAAGAATGTCTAGTATAAGTTTGGGAACATTTTGTTTGATAATTGCTGTAAAATAAATCAGGTATATATCATTTATTTGATGATGGGTGATACATATATATTATATGTTTCAAGATGGGCGAAAGTAATAGCGAAATTTAGTCTTCGGTGTTTTGTTTTATTTACATCAATATATATAAATATATTAATTAATAGACAAAATGAGTAAAGGGGAGCAATACTTTAGAACTTTACAGAAATGGACAATCAAACGAGGGGCTTTACATCGATATTAGTATAAATTCCTGAAACATCAGGTCGAATTTGAAATTGTGTTACAGTCACCGATATTTGACAGGTAAACGTGACAAATAAAATAAAACATTTTCTAAAAAGCTTTTGTAATTAGTTATAAATCGGCACGCGAGGTGAAAAACAGTAACGCTGCTGAAAAATGGCGTATATAGTCGTACTGATGATCTGGAAGAACCATTGTTGATTTCGAAATAAATGTATTATCTATTGTTTATTTTATGACTGGTATTGATAATCAATTAAGTAAAGATTAAAAACCAAAAGACAAACAACTGAACTAAATGATGCTCCATCAACTTCTGTACTCCATTGTCGATACAGCTGGAATCCCAGCATCAACTCCTGTACTCCATTGTCGATACAGCTCGAATCCTTTCAGTGTTAACGGTATAACCAAAAGTGGTTTTTATAATTAAGACACATATCATTATGCCAATTTATAATAACTAGTAATCATATAAGTTAGTTTTGACGGAGCGATCTTAGCATTGGAACAGAAATAAACAAAACCAATCTGTTCTCCATAGCTCCGCTACACAAAAGCACCCTTTACCGCCACAACGGAAAGCATTTTCCCATACTGACTATAACCTAAATTCCTTCGTGACATTTACAAACACAGACTGAATCAAGACACCGCTGTGTCAGACAAATGGGCTAATCTACAAACAGGGAATCTGCACGGACTGATGAACTGGTGCCAAATAAACATATCTCCCTGTGTGTAAGATAGAGCTATCCAGGGTAAGAAAGGGGTGTACAAAATATCTCATCCCGAGGGTTGACATATCTCTATCTACATCACACAGGGGTGACGTCACATGAAATGGGGTGTAGGATAGAAATTTCTCCCACACTTCACAGGTACATTCCCGTTTTTGGTAGGGAAAAGATAAACCTGTCTTGATCTACCCCGATCAAGACAGCGTACACGCGCTATTACGCCACAGACAACGCACTTCTTTCAACATGACCTGTGACTCTGTGCATTTTCATTAAAACCGATTACATCATCACTTTTTACACACATGTATAATACACATGTAAACAAAACATGGCAAGCTCAGCATTCCGACAGTACAAAGTAGGCGAATATGTTGCCGTAGGAAAAAGTGGTGAAAAGGGAAGAATAGTTGCTGAATTTAATTGATGATAGTTCGGTGTATTGGGGTCAAAAATACAACTTCGCAGTGAAGGTATTTTTTACGGTATGCAAATGTGGGAGAAAAATAATCAATCACTCCTGTGTGATGTAGACAGTGATATCTCAACCCTCGGGATGAGATATTGTTTAGGTTTAGCATTCGGCAAAGCCTCGTGATAAACCTAAAAAAAATATATCAGCCTCTGGTTGAGATATCTCTGTCTACATCACACAGGAGTGATAGATGCTATTAATCCTGAGTCCGGCAAACGGCAGCTGTGTAAAACTAGCTTTGCGAACAAACTGTTTCGTATTTTTCTACCGCAAGTGTAATTAACACCAATATAAAATATTATCAATAAGTTTAGTTGATATATTTAAATATTAATTATTATATTAACGCATATATATTTTAAAAGATGGGTATTAGGAAGCACACATCACTATATACTAAAATGGCTGGAATAATCCCGAGTTATAAACTTTTCCGAACGAAACTCGAGTGTTCCGAAGAGCCATTGGGAACTTAAAAAGACCATTGGTTTTGTTGGCCAAAAAGAAAAAGGGTCAGACATAGTTCTTATTGGTGAGAATCACTGTCATTTGTTAATCTGTTGCACGTCATTTTCAACCAGAATGAGACAAATGAAAGTAGTTTGATGAGGATTTATATGGCGAGGGTCCAGTAGTGCAGCTGTAATGATGGCAAACTAGGTAAGAGCGCAGAATTATTGTCATAATCAGTCACTACATACTTAAATATAAAGTTGGATTTTAAAATTCATCTTGATTTATGTTATTTTTCGTACACAGCCTCGTTGAAGAATTCTAGTTTGGTTTGATTTGGGGTGGGGGTGGGGATAATTATTTGTTTTATATTATTAATGAGGAAGTATTGGTTTCTTTGACATGTGTCTACCTGGGGTATGCCGTTTATTCCAAGTTTCTGGTTAATAATTTTACAGCAATTTTGAGGTTAAGATACAGATAGTTGATGTCAGAAAGCTGAGTTAGTTGATTTAACATTTATCATTCACATCACTTGTCTTGCTTGTTGTAAGCAAATTTTATTGATTTCTGTTGATTATCCTGTGTTATAAATTCATGGTTTAAAGTTTGTGCTCATGTATTTTGTGAGTTAACAGGTAAAGGATATGTACAACTGTCCAGTGTTCCTTCANAGAATATTTGTAATTAAATACAATTTATTATACCCAGTCTAACATTAACTGCTTATTTTTACATTTGATCTAACTTGACCTCTCTAGGTTAATTTTAAGTCGAAGAAGAAATTCACAAAAAAAATATATTTTACAGGCAATTTTTTATCAAGAATAGTTATACTATGTATGTGTACATATCACTATAGCAAGGTTATTTTATTAGATTAAATCAATCTCTTCATCTTTATTTATGAAAAGTGTCTGACACTAGATCATAAACTAGGGAACTCAGATATAATTTCAAAAATGAAGAATGTCTTATATTTCAGTTCCTTTTCCAAATGAATTTTATCACACAGGGGAGCATATGGTAACTGGACATTTCCCCCAAAGTTTGAAGCAGATTCCAAGAGAAATATTTAGTTTACTAATACACGAGCAAGATACTTTACTCCGCTTGTTCCACTCTACTTAGCTGTAAATGAGTATGTGGTTGGGCAGTGCTAGAAATGTAGAATGCTAGCTGTGAGTGCCGAAATGGCAGCACTGGCTGTATGCTCCCCAGGGAGTTGAGAAAGATATTGACTGGTTGCAAATATATACAATGGAAGATATTATACATGTATATAATAAATGAGCATTACAGTATATATTTATTTTGCTGCACACTTAATAAACATGTGACATGTCCCTGTAACCCACATCTAATTATAGGTAAGTAGCTATAGGGGAATTATTATTGGAAGCCAATATCAACACATCCAACTAATACAGCACATTAAAACAAGGGCCCCATGGGTTTAACAGGTCACCTGAGTTGTAATACAATTGTTATTTGTTGTTGTGATATGACAAAAACAAATATTGCATATGTATAGCATGGTATTTTGTCCCTCTACAATACTGAAAAGTCTCATTTCCATAAACTATAGCAAAATTTACCCCCTCCCTACGGTAAATGGGTGACAATTGATAAAAAACATACATCAGGGCATTTTAGATCGCTATTTTCTGTAGGAAAGTTATTATTTTTCCTCATCTATATAAGAGTTGTCTTATTGGTTGTTTAGATTACCTCTTACCATGCAAGAAATATGAGCTTGGGGATCTCAACAATTTCCATGCTATGACCCAGGGAGGAAGTCCTCAGGGATTGATTGGGCTCCATTAAGGACTTGATAACATGAGTGTTATTTTCTCTGTATGTCCAGCAACATATGAAAGGGATCTAAACTGATTTCATGTTAAAACCTGGGGAATAAGCCCTCAGGAGCAGGAAATGACCCTGGAGCCAATCCTGTAAGCATGGATGTGTTCAGGGTATGGTGGGGAATCTTGATAATTTAAAGTACATAAAGCTTTACACCGAAAATTCCTCTATGGCTGCTTTTTCCTAGTTTTTCAGACCTGAGATATGCTACAATCTGTACAGTCATTAAGGAAAAGTAGTTTTTTGAAGATGAAATTGTCTTATTTTGCTCTATATTGGGCCCATCTTATGCCATGCCCTTCTAGGTTGTAGAAACTTGACAGATACAAAATATGGTCACCTTATTGCCTCAGCCATTTTTACTGTATATTGTAACAATTTATATGGTGACAGGTCCTTCTAGAGAGTAGTCTTTTACAAATTAAAATTTGCCAATTTCCCCTTATTGGCCCCGCCCCTCAACCCTAAGGTGGCCATATCCTTCCATAATATAAAAGGCCAAAAATATATTGTTTTGTGCCTACCCAAACGTTTTTGCCAATTTTCAAAGAAAGAACTGTTCCAGTCAAGATCACTCTCCTTTCTATGTTTAGGATAAATAAAAATAAATGAAAAACTGATTTATTACCTATCCATACCTTTCCATATTTTTTTTCAAACATGTAACAGGAAACAAACATCTCTTGTTGTATATAGAGGATACTCATACACAATAAGTGATGACTCTCTATGAGGTAAATCAAATAGTGTAAGTTTATATGCAGTATATTATCAACAAATTTCAGCAATTAGATGATATATAACTGAAAATAGTCATGAGAGATACTTCATATACAAAGCTTGTTAAAGAAATACAGAATGTAGTGTACAGATAATGTAAAGATAGGATTATGTATACACAGTATATACAGGTA